GCCAATTGTTTATACACACTCTATGGCGCTAGGAGGAAAGCGTGGATAGTGTGTCTCCTTCTTTTAGTCACGATGTAATACGGACAGAGTTTGAGGTAAGAACTTCCAAGGCTCTGTCATCCGCTCCACATTAAGCCCGTGACAAACCCTGACATTTTTACCAAGCAAAGCATCTTGTCAGGCGATGGAAAACGCTCGCCTGCAATAAAGACATCAGAGCGGCGTCGTTTGTTTCTGCTCAGTCAACAACACGCGGCGATGCCAGGCCTCGGCTCACAGTGTGCCCGTTTAGGGAGGCCGCACTTTGCCGGGGGTTGTAAACAAACAGCCCCGCCAGGTCCAGGGGAAGGCCACCCACAGCTGCGGAGGGCAGATCACTGGCTCCGACTGATGTTTACGCAAGCTGCGCTGTGGTTAATACGGAGATTTAAGGGCTGGCTTGTTTGTGTGAGTCATCTGCTTCCACCGGCCCGTCTCTGCAGCAGCTCGAAGCCGCCGCGAGTCCAACGTTTCGCAAGATAAAAGGCATCAATCAGGCTTTAATTCGTCCATTTAACGCAGCCGATTAGAGTTGTTCTAAAACAGTTTCGTAGTTTGTTGTGGATTTGTTTTGGCCGGTTTTGAGTGTAAAGATGAAACGAATCAAACATTGCAATTCTGCATAGAAATTTTTTTTTTTTTTTTCAATTTTGTGTTTGCTTCTTGACTTCTCTTTACTAAGAAGACAGGACTGGAGCCTCTCTGAGAGCCATTCTTTGTTCTTGTTGTTCTGCATACATTTCAGTAGCTATCATTATTTTTACTTAATTATATACATTGATATTTATTTATCAAATAAATAAAACACAAGAACAAAAGGGCACGCAGAGCATGCACATTGCTCTTTGGTGTTTTTTATTCAAAGTGCTCTTAAGTATTTAATATCTTGGTGTTTTTTATGGGAAAGTGACTCTTTCAGATCAATTTAATTAGCAATTTTGATCATATTTCACATTTTAATGTGCCATGTAGCATAGGGTCTCGGTTTAGGTGGTCTTGACTACAACACTGCCTCAGACTTAAATCTACATGCACTACATCTTTAGTTAAAGAATATGTGTATTTTATGTTTTACTCAGAAAGTAAAAAGATGTCTGCTGGAGTGGGAATGCCCATTGACCCAAACACAATATGGCTGCCTTGCACACTGAACGGGGGCTCTTATGTAAAACGTACTTTTTTGACCTTATATGACGTTATAATGTTATTCCCTCTTCAGAAACATACCTCAAGTGTTGCTTTCATCATTTCATGCATGTATGAGATGGCAACTATTTTAGAGGTCCCTAAAATAGTACAAAGCGCCACTCTATTTCCACAAAACTCCTCCAGGCTAGTGGCAGCAGCAATTGGCAAACACCTGGTGGAACTGCACATTTTTAAGTCATGCTTCATATCAGAGCTTTTTTTTTATGTCAATTGAAAGTAACATAGTTACTTTATTGCGCTATAAAGTAGCACTTTATGCCTGGAAAGTACGAAATGCCTCCCCTTGAAGCTTAACTGCCTTGAATACAGAAACAAGCTTATTTTCACTTTTAATGCTCTTTTTCAAGTTTCCTTCATTTTCGTCTCTTTCGTTTGTTAAAGTGCTCAGAAGAAACGTTCAACAATTGCTGACACCGGCATTGACATGAAAATACCTCGATGGGAGCTTGTCTAGTCTTGACAGTACAGTAGGAAATGTAAAGCTGAGAAGTTGATTGTGATTCCTCGAAGCAGATTCGGCATCAGAATCACTGCATATGGAGCTGCCTCTGTTTTATAACATCAAATATATTTTTTTTCTTCACATGCCTCGTTCTGCCTTCCTGGTGCCAAATGATTGGCTCCGAACGGGGTTTGCCGCTGGGTTTCCTCAGATGTTTGCGACACCACCACCTCAGCTGAACTCATTTCTCTCTCGCAGAAGTTACAGCTGCTCTCCTCTCCCGCCCTGCCCTCCCTCCGCTCCCCCGCCTCATGTTTTCCCTGCCCCTCCATCAAAAACATCGCATTAAAATAGGAAGCAGGCCGCTGCGGCTTGCTTGTTGTTTGTTAGTTTTTTCGCTGATGACGTCTTTGCTGTGTTGCTCCGTAAAACCGCAGTCATTTCCGACGCTGCAGTCGCTCCTGCTCGCATTGCCAAACAGTGTGTAATCATATGTGTCAGGTTGCTCCTCATGAGGATAAGTGTTTACTCAACCGCAGCCATGTCTGCTTCAGCTCCGGACCCGGTGGCAGGACCCGGACATGTCGAAACACCCGTGTTGATAGCCCTCTTAACGGTCTTGTTAGCGTTGGACGTCCATTTTCTCTGCACCATTAAAGTTTAAATATATCTCCTTTTAATCATGTAATGAGATCTCTCTGCCTGTTTCCGGATCTGCGGCTCTGGGGAACCACATGGCTTGGCAACCACAATCTGGAACCACTACTACTAATGCCGAGATATAAAAAGACCACAGCGGTCGTTTAGGAAGTGTGTGATGATATATTTTTGAGCTGTTTGTATGTGCGCGTTGGACTTTTGAACCCCAGGTAAAGCAAATTCCCACATGTCAAACAGCAGCTTTGAAGAAAAAAAATCCTTTTATGTGGCCGCACCTCATTTAGGCCTCAGCATGCACTAAGATTACTATTCTGATGAAACAGGGGAGAGGCTGTTGCAACAGAGGGCTAGCAAGCCACTTGACCTCGTTTTGACATGAAAAGCTTGGTCAATACTTTGAATGCCGCCGGCGTCTCCCGAGGGCCGGGTTTGACCGGGGCCATGAGGTGTTTCGACTCGCGTCTCGTCCTCGTCAAGCGTTGGCAGATGTCAGACACTGAAGAGCATGTGATGAGACATTGATGAAACGGTTCCCGTTTGCTTTCGCGCAGACTTCTGCCAAAAGCTGTCCTGGGCCTCAGCGTCAAAAAAACATCCTTCAGAAGCGGCGCGCTGATGCTGCCTGACAGCAGATCTTAGAGACTTGCAGTTTTTTATTATTGTTTTTCTCAAAGAAACATCTTGAAATCTCCATTTGCTCACTTCTGGATCCAAGTGTTTTCTTGATGTGGACATTTCTGGGAAACGTTTCCATTAAAGGTTAAAGGTTACTTCACCTTGTAGAGGTAGAGAAAGGCAGTCAGTGTCTTCAGACATGTTCAGAAACATTTAACTTTTTAACACTTAGGTATTTTTGAGTGTGTTGCCATGTAGGAAAGCAGAACAATTTGGGAAATGGATCGAAAAGCATGTATGGTTTTCAAAGTGGCAAACTGAATGATATTTCATCTTATTAAGCAAATAAATTTTGGAGTATATCTCCACCAGCTTTGATTATTTGCAAAATACTGCATACTTTGTGGTTCAGGTCTAATCTATGCAGTATGATTATAGGGGTGCATCGGTCTTTCAAAAACCTGACTTTGCAATTTTGATTTTGAGCAATATTATTATTATTTTTGTCTGAAAAGTTACTAAATATGGCAATGAATAACTTGTGATTGTTGTTAACTGCTCGGTTGCAGATGTGAGCAAGTCTGTCAGTCAAATAAGATCAGAATTGGCTCATTTCCAATCTCCCAAACTTAAAAAAAATAAATAAATTGGTGCCAATTTATTTTCTGGCTGATTTATCGGTGAACTTCAAGCAATGTTTTGGTGTCTTTGTTAGGGGGAAGAAAAAAAGACATGCCCATAGTACGAAGCAACTATCAACATGTTTCAGAGTCGGGATGATGCTTCAGGGTGCAGAGGAACTAAAATTGCAAACTGGTGGACTCATAATTTAGCTATTAGTTCTGAATTAATTGCACTAGATTTTATTTAATGGCAACAACGGAAAAAATTTAAAGCACACCACACTTTCTTTTAAGAAAAACTGTTGTGTCGATCAGATCGCCTGGAGTGATGATAAACACATGGCAGTTTGTGCAACATGAAATCAGTTAAGCTGTATGAACGCACTGCAGCTGCAACCTTTACATCCCAAAATGCCCCGAGATTTCAACTCTTCGCTGCTTTTATTTCAAATATTTTTTGGGGACCCAGTTTGCTTTTAGAAGAGCAAACCGTGCAAACCTGCCCTAATGGGACTGTTATCGCGTTGAAAATCACACGCTGGGACAAATTTAAAAAACAGTGAGGTGGAGGAGCAGATTTGTAGAGCCTCTTTTGAATGCTAAATTGTCCTTATTTGCATGCTGGGCTGATATTGGACACATCATGTCCGGCTTTTGTTTTCACGCCATAAAATGATCCGCTCTCGATTTCAGTCTGTAAAAGATCTTAAGAAGATAGTTAGGCCATTATTGTTCTTTTGAGTCTGTGTTGGGCCAGGGAAGGGACTTGGGTCGGTTTGTCCTGTCAGATCCAATGGGACTGTTATCGCGTTGACATGACTGCCACCTAGTGAGGATTTGGCACAGATGCATCTGTTTGCTTTGCAGGTCAACCTGTGGAAAGCAAGATGTTACTTAGGCTAGTAGAGAAACAGGGTAGGGCTGCAACTAACAATTATTTTAGTAATTAATTAATCAGATTAATAGATTACTAAAATCAATTAATCTATCGATTATTCTAACAACTAAGCTATAAATCAGATTTTAAAAATGACACATTTGACACATTTTTCCTATTGCTACTTATATTTTATTATATTAGAAATTAGAAAATAAATATTTTACTGACTAAAATGCAATTCCTTTGGTAAATCTGAACCAGGTGAAGCTGAAGAGACACCGCTTGAGGAGTTTTGACTCAAATCTATTTACAAATGCAAAATGAATGTTTTATTTTTAACAGTTTTAGCTTAATTCGTGATAATAATGTCTTGGTTTGTTCAGAAAATTGCCTTCTTCTTATACTAGTTAACGATTAACAGATTACTAAATTAGTTGTAGCGATTAATCTGTCTATGATTAATTGTTTCAGCCTTAGAACAGTTGATGTGCATGTATTGAAACGTGACACTGACCGTACGTCTCTCCCTCAGGCTCGCATAGCGTTGGACAGGGGCGCCCAAGCTGTTATCTTCGACGTCAGCGACGTTGCCATCGCAGATGCCGAGGTCAATCTGCTGAAGTAGTAGTTGTACTTTTCATGCTCTTCATTTAACTGACCAATGCACAAATTCCCGCCCACAGCTGAAGAACACGGACTCCCTGCCCCATCCAGTGGTGCTGATTAAGGGAGTGGATGCTAAGAAGCTGATGAATCTGGTCAACCACAATGAGGAGGCCACAGTTGTTATTGAGGCCAAGGTGGAGCCCAAATGGGTAAGCAGGACGTCTTCTGATGTCCAAAAGAAAATAAATTCTGTGGGTCTGGTTAACACGCGTCCCTCCTTTTGCTCTCCAGCCGCATTATGATGTGAGCATCCTGCTTACCATCGTCCTGGTTATCCTCACCATCATTCTGATCTTTGCTTTCCGCTACAAGTGCAAGTCCAACAGAACTTGGGTGAGTGAGTGAGTGGCAGCCGCTGCTCTTCGGGGCGATGAAATTCCTCAAGAGAAGTTGTTGATGTTCTTTTTCTGACCGTCTTCGTCTGCTGTGCGCCCAGGACTCCGTCCATCAGCAGACAGTGCAGGCCATCAGTCGGCTGGAGACCAGAATCTACCGCTCCCAGAGCTGCTCCGGCTCACAGCGCCACCATGGGGCCTGGGGCTCGGCCAGCAGCTCTAACTCGAGCCCCGTCTGCGCCATCTGCCTGGAGGAGTTTCAGGACGGCCAGGTAGGGAGAAAGAGAGCCTGCCAAATGCTTTGTGGTTGTTCAATACCTTTTTGACGCATCAAAACCACAAACGTCAAGATATTGAAATTTTATCTCATAGAAGCATAAAATTGCTAAGTGGAAGAGAAAAATAATAGGAAGTGTATACACTTAGCGCAACTGCAACCCAACCAAGACACTGCCATCTATATAAATTTGGAGGAGCTGCAGAGATTTGCAGCTCAGGTGGGAGACTTTGATCCCCTACTGAAAGTTGTGACTCTAGAAACTTTTACATAGAGGGTGAAGCATGTGAAAATCCCCCATGTATATAAATAAAACAACAAAATGTCCACAAAAAAAAACCTATTCATTTATTGTCTCACTGTCTCTTGCAAGTAAACAGACTTGTTTTAGGTACAAATGTCCATTTTTGTTCAGTTATTTTGTAATTTTGTTACAAAATAACTTTTATTTTTATTTATAATATTTTCTGAATCATTTTAATTTGAAGGCTGTAAGACGATTCCTGACAAAAAAAAAAAAACAGTTTAGGTTAAAAATTGCAATTTTGAGTCCTAAAATTTGAAGGGGTGTGGTGGCAAGGCTCCTCTTGCCCCCCATGAAGGTCCACCCCTGCCAATCAGCCATTTTTGTAAAAATTGCAAGAAGATCTTTTTTTTTTCATCAGGGTTCAGGAATCCTTAGTTTTTCTTTCAGTCATTCACTTCTTTCTCTGTCTTAATCATATAAAGACTTGATAAAATACAACAAAGACAATATGAGGGGAATGAATATATTTGCTGTTTGTTTGCTGTTCCTAGTGGGTAATTGACCAACAAATCTGTCTCTTGTCTTTCTACTTTGCCAGAATCTGAGGATCATCTCTTGCGCTCATGAGTTCCACAGAGACTGTGTGGATCCCTGGCTGATGCAGCACCGCACCTGTCCTCTCTGCATGCACAACATCATGGGTCAGGACACAGATTTGTTGCTCACCTGTCATCGTGGAAAAATAGTATATAATGATAAGATCATTTGGATTGCTGTTTTCACCTGTTGGTTTGTACTATAAAGTACCTATTTTTTATTTAGTTCAACCAATTCTGATTATTTTTTTCTTTAAAATCGCTGTATTTTCGCATTTTCCCATTCAAATGCTTGGAAGCCAGCAAGGCAGCAGCAAGTTGAGCCTGGGATTGATCAACCTCTCGCTGACTGCCATTATACGGGAGCATGTTCCTCCTGTTTGTACGTCGCCAATAAAATAGTTACAAAACATTTAATACATGAATTGATTTTCCATAATTTAGCTTAAGTATATAATGTACAGTGTTTTTGTCACCAACTGTGTGTGTTGGTGACACTGATTAAAATTCAGGGGTTTTTTTGTACGAAACCCAGGAAACAAATTTGGAATTTTAAAATTATTTATTTCTACTTTGTCTGAAGAGCTTTCCTCTCTCTTCTCTTGCTGTCTGTCGTCCTCAGGAACGGAGCGTCAGCCTCAGAGAAACAGAAACCAGCAGAGTTCGGAGCAGAGCCAGAGCTTCCTGCACCCGCAGCAGTACAGCAACCCTCACAGCCACCCGTTCCCCCAGCACGCCATCCCCTTCTCCATGAGGCCCCACTACCCCCGCGGGCCTTCTGGACCCTACCCCAACCTGGGCCACTACAGCGGCTCGTCTCCTATGGACGCTCAGACCCTCCATTTCCTCAGCAGTCGGCAGCTAGGCGCCAGCTGCGGGTTCCACCTCCCAGTGGACGTTCCGGGGCGACCCCACAGGCTCGGAGCCGGCTGCCGGACCTCCGCCCATCACTACGCGTCGCGGCGCTCCTGCCACACCTACCGCTCCTCCTGTCAGGCCCAGCGGAACGCATCCGGCTCCAGGCTGCAGCACGGCTCCTCGGTAGCGGCGCAGAGCCGGGGGGTGGCGGGCAATGGCCGGCAGGACGATGGGAGTTGCTCTGGAGGCAGCTACCACACGGAGCGCAGCGGGTACCTGGCGGACGGGCCGGCCAGTGACTCCAGCTCGGGACCCTGGCACGGCTCCTCCAGTGACTCTGTCCTCAACTGCACGGACGTGTCCCTGCAGGGCGTTTATGGCAGCTGGTCCACATTCCGCAGCTCTCTGAGCAGCGACTATGATCCGTTCGGGTACTTCGGGGCAGGTCCGGCAGCCGGAGTGGGGAGTGGGCACGCCCCACGCAGGAACAGTCTGGAGGCCGCGGCTCAGAACCGGCCCAAGTCTCTGGATTCTGTTGTGAACAAAGCAGGCTGCCTGGAGGAGCAGCCGCAGACTGTTTTCAGCCACATCCACTACCACCGGCACAGACATCACCACTACGAGGAGGGGGAGCACGGCCAGGGGCCGAGCAGGGGCTCAGATGAGGAGCAGGGGGCCGCCCCCTCCGTTCCGGGTCAGGACAAAGACTCCCCGGCGTGCCCCCCAAAACACAGCCCCTGCCACTGCCCAAAGCCAGAGCCCACCGATCGACCCAGCCCAGGGACAGAGCGGCAGGAGCTCGACCAAACGGGACCGCCGGTCATTGTTCCCCCGATCCCCCTGCAGCTGCAGTCCCGCTGCTGCCACCAGGGCCACGGACACCCCCCCGCCCCTCGAGTGGGGGGCTGTCTACTTGATGGACCCTCCGTTCACTTTCACCAGAGCCTGGACCTCCAGGACGACCGCAGCATCCACATTCATTACGGCCAGAGCCCGGCCTACTGCTGCCCGCCGCCAGAGCTGCACCCGGCCCTGCTCCCCGTGCCCCTCATCTTGGACTCGGCGGGGATAGAGGAGTGGCCGTGCTGCGGGGGGGCTCACGTTGTGTGGCAGAGACAGGTGCAGCAGGCTCACTCAGAGCCTCAGCTTATGGGGCCCGGGACCTCAATGGACAGGCCCCCCTGCAGGTTCCACCAGGGGTCCTCTGCTGAGCGCAACACGGACATTTGTTTATACTGCCAATCTATAAAACATAATCAGGGTAAGGATCCTTTTTATGTACTTAAAACTGCTACCCTGCATGAAGTTTACTCTGTCACTTCAGATATAATGTCACCTGGAGAACATTTATGGTCAGATTTGATATTTTGCTAATTAATTATATCATTTATATGAAATCTGCCGTCCTGTAGTGAATGTGGAAATGACCTCACATATCAAAACACTGGAGACTGCACCACCGCTTCTCTGTTTGTAATTATCATCCCGTTTCATTCAGCAGACCGATAACGATGTGTTAAAAATGACTAATTTTGGCCGATATTGATGTTATTGCCAAAATATCTTGCATAAAATAGCTACATAAAACCTCTTTATGAAATCCAGGAAATTTTGCAACAATTACACACTCAAAATATTCAATCAACCTCAAAATATTAAGTCCACAATTTTCAAGACCCTGTACTGCTTCACGCACTGCTTACTGTAGAAAAAGCACAGCATAACTAGTCAGCGCCACCTAGCGCATCTCAAACTCTTATCAATTCGTTTCCTCCCTTCAATACTTTTTTTTTTTGCCTTTAAATGTCCCCAAAAGCCAATGATAGACATTTTGGTGGATGAAACAAAACCTAAAATACTCAACTGAAGGGAAATGTTTCCTCCTTCATTTGGCTCAGGCACAGAGGAAAGAAATTTGATGCTATGGCTGATGGACAAAGATTCAAAAAGATCTGTACTCACAGAGGACACAAAAAAAGAAAGCATTTTCCTACCAGATGAAGTTTATGTTCACAAACAACACCCCCCAGTTCCCATAATAATCTACTTTGAAGTTTTGCTTCTGGTCAGCTCCATGCAAGCTCAGAGGTGCAATTAGCTGTGGTTTCTTCTCTTTGCACTTTTAAAAAACTTTGACAGTTCCTCTTGTGGAAATCCACGTTCAACCATTTCGCAGCTGTCTCGTTGTAGTCGATGCATGCGCTTTTCGCTGTTTTCAATCCTACTCTTGTCCATTTTTTTGTTGTTGATGTTTTTATCATATTAATCATATTCGATTGTGTCCACAGGATCAGAAGAGGAGTCTGGGGTGTGAGAAACTGTCTCGTCCCCACTGCTGCCCAGGAGCCAGAACGGAAAAAGTCCTTACAAAAATCCCACCAGTCACGCCTTCACTCAAGCAAAAGTCCCAGCTGCCTTAGGAGAATTCCCATCCTCAGATAGTGAAATGATCTTCATTTTGTTAAAAAAAATAAAAAAACTAGAATATTTGATATAATATATATACTTAATGATTTGAATGTGCGAAGATAGGATAGGGTGTTGCAGGGGAAACGACTCTCCTGGTCAGACGCAGGAGGATTGTTCACATGGTCGCAGTTTCCCAAGCTCCTCAGCAACCGCCACCCAACGAATGGTCCTGCTTTGGGCGTCGAGCCCGCATGAAGTGAGACTTCGTCTCTGCATCACGTCCTCTTTATTTTTATTTTTTTAATACAAAGTAACTTGATTTCTCGTAGAGGTACTTCCCTTTCTCTGCCTTCCTTCGCTGAGTCCGCTCTCAGCTGAGAAATGCTTTTCTCTCCAGCCTACCTCAGCTCAGATTTTCTTAACACGCCTCACACAAAGAGAGAGAGAGGGGAGTGGGGGGATGGAGGGGAGGTTTTTAAAGGTACTGCTGTAGTGTTTTGTTTTAAATTCCTATGTAGCTTCCACAAACTCAACAGGTAGTAGTTCCCTCTCTCGGCAGTCCGGATTGTTCAAACGGAGAGAGGAAGTTTTTCGATGCTCAGCCCCCCTCAAAACGACGAGCATCCTCTGAGGTCGCTCAGCCTCGTTTTCATTGTTTCAGTAATGGCAGCTGTTTCTTTTCTTTTTTTCTTTTGTTCTTCTCTTTTCTGTTTTTGATGTTGTTTGCAAGGTTTTTAGTTCTTCAAAACCAGCCGGTTTGACTGAATTATGTGATGGTCATTACAAGCTATTATCATGTCTTTTTTTTTTTTTTTTGTCATTTCTCTTGCTAGTGGTTGTTTCAGTGCTGGTGAGCCCCTCAGACGGAGGCTTCGTCAGGAGGATGGCGATCACATCTTTGGTTTTATTTTTAACTCACCTTGACGTCATGCTGTTTGCTGCGAAGGTTACGCTTTCCCCTCGTCTTCCACAACCTGTGAAACAAAACGTAATTGCTTTGTAGCACAACTGGAGTAAAGTCATGTAACAGTACCTTGCAAAATGTTCGCCTGGTGGAATCTGTTCACTTTTCACGTGGTGCAACCTCAAACTTCAGTGGATTTTATTGGGTGAGGGGAAAAGAGCACGTGTTCGGCCTTGTTCTCTCTAACTGTGTTTCCGTTGACCATATAATGGCAAAATTTGGCATTTCTAAGACAAATTTGCTTAATGGAAACACGGCAATTTCGAAAAAACATTTTGCTGCTAGGATGAGGAGGTTTTTGGCCGTATCGAAATTGGTTTATTTCGCAATGGAAACATTGTGGTTTTGACACGTAAAAAAAAAAAAAAAAAAACATCGACATATCACACAGTGTCGCACAATCAGAAACTGGATCAATATCCGGTCGTTGATCAGATAATGCAAACATTAAGAAGATGACGAGAGGAGTTAGCAGCAGGAGGACGCGGCATGTTTTCTATTGACTCATCACGTGAGCAGAATTCTTCATCTGTGATTTTAATTCCCTTTCTTATTTCATAGAAACACAGCAATCACAAACGTATCTATTTTTCGACATTAGCAGAATATCGACAAATTTGACTTTGTAATGGAAACGCAGAAATCTGGTGCTAATAACTGGCTTCCAAAGTCGGCTAGTAAAATTCTGATTCAAAAATCATATATCATCCATTGAGGCATTCATGGATGAGTGGCCAGAAGGCCATCAGAAGTCCTGCCGTTTAGGGAACAAACATGTGAGCGAAAATGCACACATAGGACGAAAATTGGAACACAGTGGTGGCAGCGTCATGCTGCGGCAGCATTTTGTTTTTGATGGGAAAAATTTCAAACTTCAGTTGACTAAATGTGATTGGCATATACAATAAAAGACTCAAAGCTGTTGCCTCAGAGCTTAGAGGAGCTGAATATTAAATGCATGCCACACCATTAAGATCTCCGTTTGTAAAAAGATAAAAGAATGGAAAAAAAAGTTGAAATACACTGAAGTTTGCTGTAATGTGGGGATGAGTACTTCTGCACGGTACTGTACTTTAATCAGTTAGTCTGATTCTGTGCTGTGGCACCACTTCTACTAGAGCTTGATGTCGGTACAGGAGGAAACGCTTGGCATTTGAAAAGAAAATGCACCTTGAACTCGGCAACACTTTCAATTCAAGAAATATGAACTGTCAACGTGTTGTTGTTTTTTTTGTTTCTGTAAGTGTAAAACCGCTTTAAACAATTGCAATTGAGGTAGTTGTTACCACTTACTCCGATTTTTTGACCAGTGGAGGGGGGGAGGGAGTGCGTTGCTAAAATACTAAACCGTAAAGGAGAAAGTTGGTCTCGCTTCAACATTTGAATCTGGACTTTCTACTTAACTCCAGCAGAAATAAGCTGAGATCAAACCAATAATAAAGGCTTAGTGAGTGTACTTTTACTTTTATAATGAAAAGTAAAAGTGTTTTTACTTTTATTTACTTTTTTGTAACTTTTGGGCAGACCAGCTGCGGCTGAATAAGAACTTGTGGAAACTGCAGCACTTACAAAAACCCTCACGTGTGCCTTGTTGAGTCAGACTAAAATCAGGAAGCTCCCGACGACGACAACAGCTCTTACCTGCCTAACCAAAGAGGCAAAAAAAAAAATTTTTTTAATCTTGAACTCAGTGAACCCTGCTGATATGCGTAGTGCCTTCTCGTTTCCTCGCCCTTCCTTTGCGTTTCTTCGAGCGCCCGACGAGAGCACATGTTCAGATAGACGTGGTAATAATTTTGGGCAATCATGCAGAATCTATCACCTCTAGTCCTTACAAATACCTCACTTTGAATGTGCCTTTAGCTTAATGTATGGGAGGGGGTGACGTTTGCTTTTTTTTTTTTAATGTTCCCAAACAGTCCCACGGACTGACATGGAAATGACTGAATTGTAATAAGCACTTTGGCCTTAAGATTTTATACCGAAATGAGTTTAAATTCCTAGTATTAGTGCAAGCCAGCCCACAACCATCAGCATGTGAAGAGTAGCATTTACCACAGAACATCTGGCACGATTTCATCCTCGTTCAAGATTTTTCTCTTTGTGTTGTTAATGTGTTTTTGTTTTGTATTTGTTTTTTTTTTGTTGCAAGAATTAGGAGCTGAAACTGCCTTTTGTAATAGTCAAGAGAAAAAGAAAGAAAAAGCGGTCCCTCTAGAACGTTAAGGGATAATGTCAGTATATTTTGGATACTTTGTGTACAAAAGAGAACAACAAAACCCAGAAACAAGATAGTGTTGTATTTTATATATATAATAGAACATTTCAATATAGTGACATGTCACTAATATATTTATTTACTAATATATTTATCCATTTTTGTCCAGGTTTGAAAAGATTTCTGTATAGAGTGAATGTTTCTGTATAGAAACTGACTGGTGCCATCGCAAATATATCAACCTGTCTTCATTCCAATTATATGCAAATAAATTATTTTGAAATACAAAACAATTGAGTTTTGATTTTGTTTATTTTGCTACAGAACCATGGGAGTATTTTTTAGTCGTCTAAACTTTCTAAACCTTCGACCCTTTTAACTCTTTCGGTTTCACTTTTCTACTGGTCTCCGGTTCGTCCAAACTCTTTCTGTTTCACTGGAAATGTCCCAATAGGGATGGGACATATGGCCTTCCAACATGTACTGATTGCATAAAGTTCAATATTAAGTTACAATAATGATAATCTAATTTATCACTACATAGCACACAACGCCTGCATTTATTCTTAGCTTAAATATTGACATATTCAGTTGCTCTGGAGAAAGAAAGTGCAGTTAGTTTCTGGGGTACTTAAACATCACTATGTAGAGTTTATTGTTTTCATCATAAATCTAAATTCTTATTACAACAAAAATTTCACAACATTCATCATGACCTCACTAATAAATCTTTATCTCACAGACATTTTCAACCTGCTGCAGATCAGTGTCGTCTGCAAACATCCTAACTTTCTGTCGACGCGTTACCCAAGATTTTCTTTCCCCACCGCTGCCCTCGCCCTGTACACATCTTGCATCCACTTTATCCTTCTGCAGTTCTGCACATCCGTCTCGCTCGAAAAGATGGCGTCCACTTACCTGTCCTGTCTGCTGTGTTCACTGGTCTTCACGGCGATATTTATTCAAACATGTTCGCTAAGAACGTCAGCATAGCTAGCCGTCTGAAAACAGTGAAAAAAACGGATAACCATGCCCTGTTCACAGCTATATTGAAATTACCACCATTTGAGTATCACATTTAGTCATTGTACTTTGACTGTTTATTAGGAAGTTTTCTTTTTAAGCGAAGTAGCTGCTGGCTTTGGCTACGTGTTTAGCATAAAAACAGGATGCTAGCCTCCGTCTTCTTCCTTGGGGGGGCTGGGAGGGTAAAAACACCCGGGTGTCTTCCAATACGTATCATTTCACTTTCCTAAACACACATACACAATAGATATAAACAAGACGTTCTTTATTTAGCCAAACACAATTCCTAACATATTGAAGCAGAGTGGGCTAATGCTTGTGGCCCTCGTCACATGAAGATTTTCAACACTCTCGAATGCGTTGGACGTGCTGCAGCTGTGGTGAGTGTTTTCTCGCATCCCGGTCGTTCAGCCTGCAGCCTCGCCGCTCAGAGTGAGTCTCGGTCTGGTCGGAGATCAGCGAAAGGCTTTGGCCCTCCCTTCAGGTGTAACCACAGTCAGGTTGCCCCGGGCGTCTTGGTCCTTCTCGATGGCCTCAAAGAGAGACTTGAAGTTCCCCGCACCGAAGCCCTGAAGACATGAAGAAACACCGGTGCAGATAAGTCACTCTGAACTTCCCAAATTAGTGGTGGAAATATTTTCCCAAATAATCAGAAGATCAAGTGTTGCTGGTTCGTCTGAGGGAGTCTTTGGTGTGGTTCCATATCCAGTTACGCACATCTTTCATCCTTTCCATCCACATCTGCACACCCTAGAGAGTGACAAGACGCGCCTGTTCTGACAGGCAGGATTGGGTGCTGGGTGTCATAAATGAAACGCCACAGGGTGAAAGCCAAAGGAAAGATCTCCTCCCCCCCCTCCTGCTCTCTTTGCTGTGTAGATGTGAGCTTTTTAATCTGGATTCATCTGTGAAAGATTTACAGAGCTTTTACAAGTGGGCTGGTCTGATGCAGTTCTCACTGGGTGGGAGCTGCAAACAGGTGTTCAGGCATTTTTCTGTCTTTCAGGAGGGGAAAATGACCACAGGCCTGCGAATCCAATCTGTTTAGGGTGACTAACTTACCCACACGTACACAAAGCACAATTTTAACTACAGTCATTTCATTAACTATTGCTAATTGTTCCGAATGTTGTGAAAGTGCTTCATCTTGTATTTCGATGATATAATCTCGCAGTAATGAATGTAGAAAAATGTTTCACGTGAATACATTTCTCACATGCAGGGCCGGACTGGGCTTGAACCAAGCACTGTTGCCTTGCAGGTTCTGGGTTCAATTCCCGGCCCAGGGCCTTTCTGCACAGAGTTTGCATGCATGGGTTCTCTCCAGGTTCTCCGGCTTCCTCCCACAGTCCGAAAACATAACTGTCAGGTTAGTTGGTCTCTCTAAATTCTCCCTCGGTGTATGTGTGTGGTTGTTTGTTTCCCTGTGACAGACTGGCGACCTGTCCAGGGTGACCCTGCTTCTCGCCCGGAGAAGCACCCCTCAACCCCACTAGAGATAAGGTAAACAAAATGGATGGATGGATGGATGGATGGATGGAAATAAAATGGTTACCTCACTGGTAACTTACAAAGTGATTGTTCCTCTGTATGACCTCCAGGAAAAGCGTCGGTCTGTCTTGCACGGGCTTGGTGAAGATTTGAAGAAGGTAACCCTTATCATCAAAATCAACCAAGATTTTCAACTTCTGCGTAGGAAACACACGTCACTGATGAATGATCAACCAAAAACAACACAGCCCTGTTGAAGAGCAGAGTTAAAGACAACACATCCTCACCTGTAAATGGTCGAGGTCCTCCTTCACCTGGATTTTGGCCGACTGGAGTTTCTCCCGCAGTGAATCGTAGTACATGTCAGGAGCTGAGAGGAACTCCACTCCTCGTTCCCGCAGGTTTTCAATCTGTTGGAGACAAAAATGCAATGGAAAAGCTGCGTCGGGAATGTCCCTGCTGAGCCTTCCTGTCAGTCGGTCACTCACAGATTTAATGATGTTCGACGTGTTGAGGGCGATGTGCTGAACGCCCGGTCCCCCGTTATAGTCCACATATTCCTGTGGACAGAGATGCTGGACGTCGGTGCGTTGCAAAAGACTGTGCATCTGTTTAGCTTGTCCATATTTTGATGAGTTTATGTGGACCCTGATCACAAATCTATAGTGGAGCAAATCTAATCTGTTAATGTGTTTGTTTGTTTTTTGTTTTTACAGAAATAATTCCCATGACTTAAAAAAAAATGCCCCAGTGGCTCAAAACAAAAAAAATAGTTCTCGTTTATTAACCATGATTTCTGCATTTATCTTATTTTTGCAATAAATAGAACATCCAACAGATTTTACTCAAGAGCAGAGTTGGGCGCTTTGCTAGATTAAGACAGCGAGAGAAATGTTTTAAAATTTGTTATTGAGCTGTAAAATAAATTTATTTCAAAAGTTTCCCTTTGTGGCCCTCTAAGTGCTTTCTATTTATAATTTTGGGCCACATGAGAAAATATTCGGACACCCCCTATACAGAGCGAACAGTTCTAACTTTGACAATCCTTCGTTTGGAACAAGGAAGGCCGAGAAACAATAAGCCGCACCTGGATCTGTGACTTCTTTTTGCCCATGGCGGGTTCATTGATGGGCATCTTAATGGTCTCCTCATAGTTTGTCACCACGATGGACCTCAGCGCACTGTACTGTGTGTGAATCTGCTTGTCGTCTATCGACCAGAACCGATGGAACATCAGACACTTCTGGTACCTGGGACATGAGGAAGAGTCTGAGTTCTTAGACCAACCGAACCACAAACACACACACAACCTCCATGAGTCATGTTGAAGAATGTAAAATTTTCATGTGTTTTGCATGCCAACCAAATAAGCATTTTTTTTTGGTCCAAATTCATGTCAAATTCTGTGAACAAGACAACTTTCTAATTAACCAATGCCTGTATTATCTATTATTTGGACGTGCCACTGGTGAGAAACATCAACAAAGTGATGAAAACGCACAAAGAAATCATTTCTACTGAACAAAATGTGGACTTTTGAGTTTGTGAAACAGCAGTTGTTTTTTGGGGTTTTTTTTTTTTTGCTTTTGTGTCCAAACATGTCACTCAAACACAAGTGCAATGTTTACTTTGTCCCTTTTTACCCCCGAGTGACTCCTCGACCTGTGGCGAAACTTACCAGTCGGAAATTGGCACCATTTGGTCGTCTGGCTGGTTTCCCACAATGTGATCGATGAAGTTCAAACCTGTTGGTGGACTACGGAGAAAAGGAGTGAACGGAAACGATTATGGATGGACTCCCGGAAAATTCCAGTGATTGAAAAAGAATGATATTTCTGTCTTGTCAGATCCTACCTGGGAATTTAGGACATTTTGTAATCAAAAAACACCAAAAGAGGGAAAAAGGGGGCATAATTAGGAAGTTAGACACAGCACCGCAATGTCAATTGGACGACATCAGCATAGATAAAGTATAAAACAGTTTAATATATAAGAGTTTTCAGCGATTCTGTATGTCAGTATACTCTACCACAGCAGACTTTCGAATGTGCTTCTGGAGCAGCAAGTACAGAAATTGTACTTCAACCCTCAGGCCTAAATTAGGTGAATTGTATTCATATTTTGGGATTTTGTTGATCAATACAAACAATACTCAAATCTTTTTGAAAATTACAAAGTTCTAGCCAAATTTCTTTGGGAACAACATAGAGATATTGGCTGGGGGATATTTTACACTTGCCATGCATCAATTCATGCCTGGTGACATAAAGGATTGCCTATTAATGTTCTGTAATTTGCATCAGTAAAATATTTTTTCCTTAGTGAAACAGGCTCCTGCCCAGACATACTTGTAAATCCGGCTCTGTAAACCCAATATATTATTGTTGACAGCATATTTATTATGTCCAGATGTACATATATGCAAAGCAGAGTAGAAGTATATTCTAGAGTCCGAACAGAACAATTTTGCTACAGTTTTATGATATTTTTTTCTTTTTGCTGCAGTGAGGACTCACAGTTTGGCCAGCAGAGGGTCCCTAAACAGAGGCTCTTTGTAGCGCGGCAGGAACAGGCCTTTGTAGGGCTCCAGGTACTCGATGAGCGTGTGGGTTGTATCGCCATACTGCGGACAAAACGTTTCGCACAACACCCTCATTCAGTCCCAGACTCCTCGGTGTGTTCTACATGAGGCTTACGTGTGTGAGTCATCTTTTATGTACCGTCTGAATCACAGCATATTTGACCTT